TCTCTTAACCAAAGCAAGCCACAGGCCAAACCAGATTCAAGGGGCGGGGAAACAAATGCCACTTCTTGCTGGGAAAGAGAACGTTTATGAACACACATAGAAGGCATTATTGGCAGCCACCATGGAGACAGTCTACCACATCTTTCAAGAGCTAATCTGATAAACTAAGCTTGCTTATAAGAGAATGTTAGAAAACTCCTCTAATCTTCAGGAATCTAATCCAGGGATTGATTCTTTTCATGGGTCTGTACTGCTGAGTGAGGCATCATAAGCATTAGGGTACAAGTAAAGTTGAAAAAAGATGTGGGTTTTACAACAAAATCACTCTTAAAATGAGTATTTTTCTATCTAATTAGCTCCTTTGAACTCATCTTCAGATAAGCAATAGCCAACTTTTAGTTTTATTTATGAATCAATATTTTGATTATTTTTAACACTATTGTATTTTCTAGATTACTTTTAACTTCCTAGACTCTAAAACTAAACAGAATTAACATTCTTTGATGCCTTATCTCACCTGTTAAGATTCCTTTATAAGATGGTACATTTTACTAACATTTTGTAGTACTTAACATGTTTAAGTGACTAAGTAAAGTTTGGACTCTTACTGTCTTTGGTGAGAATATTAGTTACTACCCCTCTCACTAAAGAATACCTTTTGGGATAAGAAGTCAATCCAACAAGAGGACATATATTTGTAAATATTTATGTACCAAACATAGGGGCACCTAAAACATAAAGTAAATATTAACAGACCTACAGGGAGCAATAGATAACATAACTATAATAATAGGGAACTTTAATACCCTACCTTACATCAGTGGATAGATCATCAGGACAGAAAAACCCATAAAAAATTGGTCTTAAAAGACATATGCAGACCAGATGGAATTAACCGGATATATATAGAACATTCCATCCAAAAGCAACAGAGTACACATTATTCTCAAGTGTATGTGGAACATTGTTCATGACACAAAACAAGACTTAACAAATTTAAGAAGATTTAAAATCATATGAAGCATATTTCTGACCACAGTGTTATGAGACTAGAAATAAATTATAAGAAGAAAACTGGAAAATTCAAATATGTGGAGATTAAACAACATGCTACTGAACAAACAAATGTTCAATGAAGAAACCAGAAGAGATATAAAAAGTATCTTGATACAAATGAAAATGGAAATACAACATACAAAATATGCAGTAAAAGCAATTCTAAGAGGGAAGTTCATAGTGATAAATGCCTACCTCAGGAATCAAGAAAAATCTCAAATAAATAATGGATTAAAGACTTGAAAATAAGACCTGGAACCATACAACTCCTAGAAGAAAACTTCATCAGTAAGCTTCTTGACATTGGTCTTGAGAATGATTTTTTTGTGTATTTGACAATAAATGTGAATGTAACAAAAGCAAAAATAAACACGTGGGACTACATTAAACTAAAGGAAACCATCAACAAAATGAAAAGGCAACCTACTGAATGGGAGAAAATATTTGCAAATCCCATTTTAAGGGATTAAAATCCAGAATATATAAAGAACTCATACAACTCAATAAAAATGAACAATCCAATTAAAAAGTGGGCAGAAGATCCGAATAGATATTTTTCCATACAAATGGCCAATAAGTACATGAAAAGATGCTCAACATCAATAATCATCAGGGAAATGCAAATCAAAACCACAATGAGATATCACCTTACACCTGTTACAATGGCTGCTATAAAAAAGACAAGAAGTAACAAGTGTTGGCAGAGATGTGGAGAAAAAGGAACTCTTGTGCCTTGTTGGTAAGCATGTAAATGGTGTAGCCACCATAGAAAACAGTATGGAGATTCCTCAGAAAAATTAAATACAGAACTACCATATGATCCAACAATCCCACTTATGGCTATTTATCCAAACAAAACAAACACTGACTCACAAAAGATACATGCACCCTATGTTCATTGCAGAATTTACAATAGCCAGGATATGAAAACAACCTAAATGTTCATCAATGGATGAATGGATAAAGAATATGTAGTGCACACACACACACACACTGGAACATTCTTCAGTCATAAAAAAAGAATAAAATCTTGCCATTTGCAACAGCATGGATAGACCTGAGGGTACTATGCTAAGCAAAATAAATTAGAGAAATACAAATACCATATAATCTCACATAGATATGTATCTTGAAAAAACAAAACAACTAATAAATACAGAGAATATATTGGCAGTTGTCTGAGGTGGGGTGGGGGTTGGGCAAAATGAGTGAAGAAGTCAAAGGTACAAGTTCCAGTTATAAATTAGTCACGGGAATATAATGTACAGCATGGTGATTATCCTATATAATAAAAAGCCAGGGACCATAAGCATAATGACAGGAATGACCGCTCAACTAGTCGTCATGAGGTGCATTGACCACCTCTCGGTGCCCCCCACCCCCCCCAGCCTGCGAGGGGCAGTGGTGGGCAGGGCCGTGAGGACGAGCAGTGGTGGGTGGGGTGGCGAGCGGCAGGCGGGCTGCGCTGGGCCTCTAGTAGTTAATAATACTGTATTGCATATTTGAGTGTTGCTAAGAGTAGAATTTAAAAGTTCCCATCATAAGGAAAAAATCTGTAACTATGTATGATGACAGACATTAACTACTTATTGTAGTGATCATATTATAATATATCCAAATATCAAATCATTATATTTATACTTGAAACTAATATTATATGTCAATTATACCCCAATAAAATAAAAAAGAATACCTCTTGGGAGTAATATCCATGGTCATTCTTCTGGTGGCATTGTTGAAATGTGTAGCCTTTACTGCTGCTGTTCCGGTGAGGATTGTTAGTGGTGGCATCTGTTCCCTTTTGATTTACTTTTGAATGTTCACAGTTGGTAACTCCACATTAGGCCATGACACTCTCCCCTCATTCCATTTCCTGATATGAAGGAACTTCATAATGGATTGAAGAAGTGACACAAAAAGTTTTGCTAATGGTGTCCTATATACATATATATAATATTTTATTTTAAAACATAATTGAGCATATACATTTCTTTAGCTTTTTCCAGGGAACATTGCACCTAAGTTTTGAAACACACAAAATAGATCCCCATTACTGAACAGTTTTCACTTTTGGGTTACAAAAGTCAAGATTTCACAATCACAAAGCATAAAGGTGCATGGTTCTGAAATCATTTTCAGGCATATTCCTCTCATTCACTGCACGTAGGGTGTTTCTGGAAACCCAGACCTTATGATACATTCCTTACAAATGGTCTCCACCGTGGGCCTCCCTGGGTCTCCAGAAGAAACAAAGAAAATGGAGGCAAAACAGGAGGGAAGGAGAAACCTCAGGACGCCTCAAACAAACACAAATACTATGGAGGATTAGAAGAGTGGAGGACACAAGGTTCTCCTTCAAGTACATCATAGTAGAAAACAACACATCCAGCCTCATTTGGTCACTGTCTACCTGGTCTCTGCATGAACAAAACTGCATCTAAGATGCAAAGGAAAAATTAAAGCTATTTACAGATAACGCCATGAATTGGAAAGTGCAGTGCTCCTCAGACGGGCACTCAGATATGGTGCTCCCATAAGAGGCAAATCGGGCTGCTCATGTAGTGTCTTGAAAAATCCCCGTCACCAACACAAAACCAGTTTGCTCAGCAAGATGGGCCAGGGTGTGCAGGCTGCAAAATTTCTCTGCAATTGTAAATCCTCAAAAATCCAAGTTCCTGTTATATGCTTTTTACTTTTTTCTTAGATCTGGTAACTTTTTGGGTCAGCCGGGTTGTTCTTTGCATAGACAATGACTCTCACTGCTTTCTCCAAGTGTCCCAGAAGCACTAACTTACTGAAAATAGAAACTCATAAAAGCTTAATAGATTCACTCTGAAAAGAGTGGAACTGCTGGGTCATTTAAGGAATGGCAAGATACTCAAACTGTGATGGAAAGAAAACCACTGACCACTTGTGGCCTTGTAAATTAAAGATGACGGGCAGATGGGAAAGGAGGTGAGAGCAAGAGGAGAATTAGAATTTTAAAGATTTGGGAGATTTTTCCCTAAGTGTTTTCTTTCTAATCTTCCTGGTAAACCAGAAAACCCTCCCTGAATGGCCACGATCCTAGGCCAAATCTGGGTACCAGGACACTCATCCCTGCCTACCAATATCTATCTACTGCGGTAGATCTCCCAAAAATGAATGAATACTTAGAAGAGTAAGAAGAGAGTGAGCACAGCTGACTTCACATAGTCTCATGGAGGTAAATTGCTAAGGATTGAAAAAATTAAGCACCCTAAATTTCCCAAAGCTGAATACTGTGGAAAAGAACTAAAATTCCCACTTTGAGGGAGGGCGGTGGGGGGCTTTGTCTTAGTAGTTGGCCTAGCCGATTTTCAGTTCTATCCAAGAGTAGCAGTTATGTAAACACAACCACTGCAGAACATCCCCTCCTCCTTCTGACTGCTGGCACTGCTCTGATTTCAGGTGTTTAGATAACAAAGGTTTGGCTGTTGCCTGGGACGATGATGCAGTATGGATGAGTGTAAATTTGCTCTCTTTAAGGAAGAGAGTGTCAGATATTTGAAAGAGCAGGGACCAGCCCAACAAGATTTAGAACTGGAAGAGCCTTTCATTAAAGGAAGTGGCCACACACCTCGAAGACAACCATAAAGACTTGACTAGGAAAACAAGACTTCCTCTGAGGCTATGAGGACAAGCAGATTGGGCTACAACTCAGATACGGAAGATTTCAGAACCACGTATACATACATCCTGCAGAATTTTGAGTGTTGCCTTTAGACCAGCCGTGGGCAAACTACGGCTCGCTTGAAATGAATAAAACTACTGAAAAAAAAGACCGTACCCTTTTATGTAATGATGTTTACTTTGAATTAGTTCACACAAACACTCCATCCATGCTTTTGTTCCGGCCCTCTGGTCCAGTTTAAGAACCCATTGTGGCTCTCAAGTCAAAAAGTTTGCCCACCCCTGCCTTAGACCCTTCCAGGAATGACCCAGGACCCTACCTGTTATGTAGACACCATTACTGCTCTGAGATGGGATGATGTAGGGTCTGGGTAAAAAATAAAGCTAAAACCAAGTAAGTTCAATGCACAGAGCGGTATTAGTACTGGGTAGATTTTTCCATGAGCATAACAAATAATTTTTTCCACATTTGATTTATTCACCTCATTTGTAGTTTTCCTCCCATACTCCCAATAGAATCATGGCTTCAGCTTGCTACTGAGTTCTTTTTACCCAACGGGGCTTATGAAAAGAATTCCTAGTTACCCAACTAAAAGCAGTAGGACTAAATGTGCGAGACTAGGATACACTGAATAAGGGAGTTCCAGAGTTTTTCCTGAGACATGCCTTGGCAGTAAGTGAATTGATGAATTAAGACATGTCCTATCTACATGTCTGCGTCGACACTCTGACTCTCGTGGCTCAATTAAAACTGGAGAAGCTCAAGTACATAAAAGCTCAGGAAAGGGAAAAGAAATGAAAGGCAATGGAAGCGTAGGAAGGAGGTGACTGCTTCCTAAAGCTGATAACTTGGAATCCTCCAAGGGAAACTCTCAAGATTCCAATTTGTATGTGGGTTAGGGAGTCAAGGCAGGAACAGAAAACGGACCACACTGCTGTAGGATGCCTGCATGTTTTTCCATAGCATAATATTCTGCCAGAGAAGCAAACTGTCTACCATGAACTTCTCTCCACAGAGTGACTGGGGTAGCTAAGATTTATCGGAGGAGGAGGGACGCTACCAGATGAAGAGGATGCCTGACAAGATTGTAGTCCAGTTCTTCCCAGACATTTTGGCAACCACCTGAAGGATGAATTCCAACAGTACTTCACCCACAAGGCTGAGCACTGTTTCCACACTGTGGGATGAACATAGAATAGGAAGGCTCCAGGCCATTCCTAAAAAAAGATCTATAAATCCAGGTATGCAGGTGATGAACTCTCCTGGAGGAAAGGTCCTGACTTCTCCTGTGGGGAAGGGTTTCAAAAACATGAGAACTGGAATGGGCTCTCCAGCATTTTGGGGGACCACCGCAATGGCTCTTTCTTCATTGAATGTTTTAATTACAAGAAGTTGTCCAGATGGTGGTGATACTGCAGGAGCTCTCCAGGAAGAAGGCTCAGTAATGGGGTGTTGCTCTACAAGGTACCCATGCAGAGCAGCAGTCTAAGAGATAGAAGGGACTGCTAAACATTTATTTTTCAGTTCCTTCAGGCAGTGAAGCACCTGGCAGATCTGATCTGTCCACTGCTTCTGTGGATGCTCCATGAGGAACACTCAGAGGGAACAGTAGTCTAAGTGGTTGGGTGGCTGGGACCTGGAGAAGGAGCATGTGAATGGTCAGTCAACCCAATTTAAATTCTGTTTCATCAAATTCAGTCTGAGTGGGTCTTGTCCAAAGATGGTGGGGAGAGGGCCTGCTGTTCCCTGACAGACTCTGATACTTACACATTGTTTGGAGTGGGGCTGGGACCCCTTGCAGCCCATGAAATCTGGATTTAAAGTGAAGGGAAGGTTCTGAAATGAGGTGTGGTGAACTGACTGACATTAAAGGACTTCCCACACAGCTCTATTAAACACTGCTTTACGTGTGTACTTGTGGCACAGCAAGGATGGGTTGGGGTCTGGAAGCAATCATTTCAGAAATGAAAACGCAGATTCAGAAACCAACAGAAACCTCAAACAACACAAGGGAGACCCTTGAAGACAAAAGAGGAACTGCTGGCCCAAAGAAATACCCCAAATTTCGTGAAAACACTGATTTAGTGGGAAAAAAATCAACCTAGAAACAAATTATTACACAACAAAGACAGCACTCTGTTAGCCAGGGCACTGCTCCAGAGGTCTGCCTGGGTGGTGTGGGTTACAGGATACAGTGACAGCCTGGGTTGGACTTGGACACACAAATTCCTAAGCAAGGAGTTGGAAAGTCCCAGGCCTGGTCTATGGAAACAATTAAGATTCAAGAAATTAAAAAAAAGTTCCAACCTTACCCCATCATCATCATCATGAAAGAATAGAGAGACACACACATAGATAGCATTCCCTGAAATAAATCTCAGGCTTAGTAGAAGGTGGGTGCTCACACTTTCCGAGGCATGATCCCCAATGTTCCAACCCGTAGACAAATTGGCAGCTTGACAGACGAAGAGTCTTCTGCCAGTTACACCTGAAAATGGCTACCCCAGCATTCCAGATAAAATAAATATGATTATGTGCCCCAAATAGGCAATGGCCACTTAGGAGGCCTATTGAAGGAACCAAAAGAAACAACACTCAGTAGCAGCCTTTAGGTTTTACTTTTGTTGAGTATCCAGACCTGTTAACTAAAGCGGTAACTGAAACCTATTGATCCTCTTGAAACACAGCCAGAGGCCTGTGGGCAGCAAACGCTCCATCTGGGCTGGGAAGAGGTGGCACCATCTGGAACTCTGCTGGGGCACTGCCCAGTCCTGCCCTGCCAAGAGGCATCCCAGCTTTCTTCCTTCTGATCTTCCAATCCCCTGAGTTGTTTTCATGACAGTTTATTTCCATGTATTAAAGGAATGACATATACAGAAATGTCATCTCCTGAGCCCAGTCGGTCATTAGATATCCGCCATCCTCTGTCCTTCAGGACACCACGAGCACGCATCACCAGGTCCTGAGCTGCCAGTGTGTACCTGTGCAGGGAGGAGCAAGAGCAAGACCATCAGTGCAGCATCAGGCAAAAGCTGGGGTCAGGCAAAGTTAGAAAGAAGGTATCACTATAGGTACATAAACAGTTTTTGGATACTCTTAAAGTCTCAAAAGACTAGGTCACCTTTTTCCACATGTGGGATGCCTAATATAAATTACTAGAGGCCCGGTGTATGAAATTCGTACATGGGGGTGGGGGTGGGGTGGGGTGGGGTTCCTCAGCCGGGCCTGCGCCCTCTTATAGTCCGGGGCCCCTCGGGGGATGTCCGCCTGCCGGCTTAGGCCTGATTCCCCGGGGATCGGGCCTAAGCTGGCAGTCAGACTTCCCTTTCCCAGTCTGGGGCTCTCGCAGTCCAGGACCCCTTGCTCCTCACTGCCCACCTGCAATGGAGGCGGGAGAGGTTCCTGCCACTGCCGCTGTGCTTGCCAGTTGTGAGTCCGGCTTCTGGCTGAGCGGCGCTCCCCCTGTGGGAGTGCACTGACCACCAGGGGGCAGCTCCTGCATTGAGCGTCTGCCCCCTGGTGGTCAGTGTGCATTATAGTGACCTGTTGTTCTTCTGTTCAGTCGATTTGCATAGTAGGGTTTTATTATATAGGATTTTTTAGATGGTACAGTGGGGCCTTGACTTACGAGTGTTCCGACTAACTAGTTTTTCGAGATATGAGCCGTCTCTCGGCCGATTTTTTGCCTTGAGTTGCGAGCTAAAATTCAGGTTATGAGCCAGCTTCAGATACCCCATCGTTAGTTGGCGCAGCAAACGTCACAGTGAAGCCACAACATCAGCCCAGCATCAATGGTCTCATTCGTTCACTTTATGATTTGACAAACGAGTAATTTGAGTTACGAGCTCCAGCACAGAACGAATTAAACTCGTAAGTCAAGGCCCCACTGTAGTTGGACAAGACACTAGGTGCATTAAATAACCTAAATTAATCTGTTGTTCAGTCCTCTTTTGAGGTTTATGATGATGATAAGGACAGAGTCAAAGTTTGGTGCACGGACTTGCTCAGGCTCAGGGTTTTCCAGGGCAAACAGTGTCTAGCTAAAAAAGTACACGGGAAAAATAAGACCTTTTATTTTCAGTTATGCTTATTTTTAGGACCATGTTCCTTTTAGGACAAAGGATAGTCATTTTCCATTTATGGTGGGGGTAAAATTTGCTTTTTAAAAGTGAGTTGATTTAAAGAAAAATAATGATACACACGTAGCATAGAAATATAGTAAAAATGGGAAGGTTTTATTGGTAAATGACTGGTAAATCCTGATCTGTGTGAGCTGTTCCACCCACCCTTATCTATGCTACACTCTCCTCTTGACCAATGTAAGTACAGTGAGGTATGCTCCAAAAACTTGAAAATAAGATTGTTCACTGAGATTTAAACTCTAAACTTAAGAAAAAAGAATAAATGGCCCGGCTGGCATGGCTCAGGAGGTATGGTTCAATTCCTGGTCAGGGCATATGCCCAGTTTGCAGGCTTGATCCCCAGTGTGGGATGTGTGGGAGGTAGCCAATCAATGATTTTCTCATCATTGATGTTTCTTTCCCCCCTCTTCCCCTCTCTCTCTTTCTCTCCCCCTCCCCCTTCCTCTCTGAAGTCAATAAAAACATATTTAAAAAGAAAAAAAAATAACTGATACAAGCTGATGGAAAGTATTAATATGTAGTGAAAGACAAATGTGGGAGGTGATTTGGGTGGGTGTGGGCATAGGGTAGCCTCGAGGCAAAAAACCTGAGACAAAACATTGGCAGATGCCTATAGAAATACTGATTAGAAAGTCTTTGCTGGCAGATTTCAAAGAAATTTAGTTTCACCAGTAGGACCATATTTATTGTGGATGGATTACTCTCTTAGCCTATGACGTTAAACATGGTTCACCTTTATTCTGATTTCATGTTCACCAATAACCTGTTTATGATCTGCCTCCCTGTAAAGGCCTGCCTACAGGGGAAGACTAAGCTAATCACTTGGAGTTTTAGAATATCAGTCAGTTATATTTTTCCATATAAATGTCAACTGGCATTTTGTTTTGCAGATCAATCTTGTAAGCTTGGTTAAGGTGAGCTGAGTTCTGATAATGAATCTGTTCTTTGTGTGATTAAACTAGTTTCTGAACCTGAAAAGCTAAAAGCTAGACTCTGGTAAATCACCAAGATAATAAATGCCATCCTATAAGGAAGGCCTCCTAGAAGCCAGCCCCTGGACCTTTAATAAGAGACATGCTGATATTACCAGTGGCCTTTCCCTCCTTGGAATGTCTTTGCCTTGCTTTCAGAATTGTGAGTTAAGGAATTAGAAAACCAGAAACTCTCCATTTCTTCTGTTAAAACCCTTTATGAATTCATCAATTCTCATGTTACAAGAGATCTGCATCTAGCCCCGTGGTTCCATTGTTTAAGACCAAGGTCTGTAGGGCAAGATCTCAATATTGTTAAGATTCTAGGTTGTAGAGTCTATGACATTCAAGTTTACTTATACAGCCCAGGTAGAAGACAGAAGGTGACCAAGCAGAGGCTATTTTAGTTCACACACAACAAATGCTTTTTCTTCTGGAGGATGGGTATTGCGTGGGAAGGAGAGATACCCCTTTTTCAACTGGTATTGAGAGAATTATCGGCTGAGAGGCAGGAATCTCTATTCCATCTGAGGGCTAGGTAGCCCTCTCTTCGGGTTCTTCTGTTGAGATCAGGAAATAAACAGGCCTCCACAGAGGTCTTTGGCTAAAGAGACAAATAAATGTCCCTAAATGTACATACTAAAGCTCATATATTATATTCAGTAGAGTTTCTCAGATGCTCTTGGTTACTCTTGGTTTTGTATTAGATCGCACATCTGAGATTTAACCACATACGGAAAGGCTACTATAAATATAAGGGTGATGTTCATTATCCTGGTGATTAGCCTTTCAAATTCAGAAACCCGGCTAAGTTAATATACTGAGCAGATTCATCTGTCAGGGCTGAGCACACCTTAATCCAGCTTATGAGCAGACTAGACATAGAAAATTATGGCAAATTATCGGAAAAGATCACTGACAGTAAAAGAAAGATATTCAAAGATATATATATATATATAAAAGAATTCAAGATAGCTCCTGCGGCTAGTGTAGAGGCAAATAGTCCTATAGGCCTCAACAGGTCCTGTATTCAAGGGACAATGACTGAGAGGTCAAGGTTAAACAATGTCCAACTGGTTTTATTTAAGTCATGAAAGAGTATCATTCATTGTTAAAGGCAACAGACCACCGTAATATTGCTAGTGACTTTGGGTATTGTAAAAATGGTCAAAATTAGCTTTGGTATTTTATTTTATTATTATTTTTTTAAGTCCTCACCTGAGGAATGAGAATATTTTTTCCATTGATTTTTTTTAGAGTAGAAGGGAGGTAGGTAGCGGGGGGAGAGAAACATCAATATGAGAGAGGCACATTGATTGGATGCTTCCTGCATGTAAACTT